AAGCTATTAAAACTAGAAAAAAGGGGCGCCTGGGTGGCTCAGTTGGTTAAGCGACTGCCTTCGGCTCAGGTCATGATCCTGGAGTCCTGGGATCGAGTCCCACATCGGGCTCCCTGCTCAGCAGGGCGTCTGCTTCTCCCTCTGATCCTCTTCCCTCTCGTGCTTTCTATCTCTCATTCTCTCTCTCTCTCAAATAAATAAATAGAATCTTTAAAAAAAATAAAAATAAAAATAAAACTAGAAAAAAGTTGACGTGCTCTCCCTGTATATGTTGTTCCTCTTCTTTCCTTCTGTCACCTTCCTCTCTGCTTCCCCAGTGAAGCTCTTTCCTACTCAGGGGTCCTCCAGACACCCCGGGGGCAGTCACCAAAAGGCTGCGGGGTAGGCAAAGAGCTTGAGAGATATGTGCCCAGGACATATCTCCAACTCAAAACCAACCGGACAAACAGCACCGGTGGTGGCTTTTTCCAGACTGCCTTGCACACCCGGGCCTTTCCTCTCACCCGCCAGGACCTGTATTTCTATTCCTGTGTTTGGACAGCCTGAGGGGGAGGGGTGGAGCAGGGGCTCATTAATGATTGATTCTCCAGCAGGGCCAGGGCCACCAGGAGGCCTCCGGGCAGGCTGTCAGCCATTTCCTGAGGTGTGGGGACAGGGTAGCGATCCCATGAGGCTACAGCCCCACTGGGCACCGCTGGGAGGGGGGCAGGCAGAGTGCAACCTGCAGGTGCCCTCAACACTTCTGCCCTCTGTGAAAGGGGGAGGTCGGCGAGGCTGGGAGCTCTGCCCTGGCGCCGGCCCTCCCCTTCTGCCATTGGCTCTGCTCCTCCTTTGGTGGGTCAAACCATACACTGTTCCCCTCACAGACACCCCCGCCCCCAATGGCAGCCCACCCCACGCCCACAGCACATGGGCTTTCCTGTCCCACAGCTCACCTGTCCATCACCCCGTGGGTCACAGGGCTGTTTGAAAAACTCTCGGTGCTTTTGGGAGGGGATTAAAGGAATGGACTTCTCCAGCAAAATTTCAGAGGAGTTATACTTCTGTCCTTCTTGAAAGTATTGCCCAGCCTTTGTTGCCTAACAATAATTAACTTTTGTGCAGAGCTGTAGTTTCCAAAGGGCTTCCACATTCATAATTCTGTTCATCCCGCAACAAACCTATGAGGCCGGTCGTACCCTCCTTACTCCCCACCTGCACCCACATCCCACTGAATAAGCAAGTGAGGCTCAGAGAAAGGAGATGGTCCTGTTTCACATAGCCAGGGCTGAAACGCCCACCTTCTACCTCTTAGCAGAGAGCTGCTGGTTTCTTCCCAGGAAATGCACTTTAGTCCCAGAATTGTTTCCCATGTGGGGAAAGGGGGCATGGCAGGTAAGCAAGGAGGGCTTGGGGGGCGGGGATCCTCCCCCAAGGCTGGCCTCTGGCTGGTCTGCATAGAGGAACTTCTGAGACTTCATGTCAAAGTGGGAGAGGGCGTCCCAGATTCCCTCCCTGTCTTGCGATTAAGAAGTAAGGCCCATGGCCCGTGCTGGAGTTCAGGGGGCCAAGGAGCCTGAGCCAGAAGGTGATAGGATTCAAACCTGTGCAATTAAACAGCCACCCCAGTAGCCCCTGTAAACTCTGAGCTGCTTATAAAAACCCCAAACCACCCTCTTTCCCAGTTCTGTCAGCTATGAGGGCCAACTGCTGTGCTTAGGGCAGCTTTGTTTTAGCACCGAAAATCCCACATCTAGGGAATGCCTTCAGTCTCATCCCTGGCAAACCCCGACCGCTAGTTCTGCCGATGTCGGCCGAGTCGTGGAAAGAAAGATCATCTTTTGAAAGCTCAGCAGGTCAACTTAAAAAAAAAAAAATCACAGAATACTCACGGGAGTTAGGCAGCTATACCTGGCATGTATTTCAAACTCTTTGAATGTTAAAGCTGAAAGAACATTTATTTCCACAAAGAAACACTCAGATCTGTGGCCAGATCTGTCCAATTTTTAAAGGCAAGCCAGAGTTACTCCTTCTTCTCTAATTTCATATTGGCAATTAATTACATTTTCTTGGAAAAACACTGAGTTCAAAAAAATTGTAACTGGGTTTAAACCACAGGTTGCCAGTTGATAATCTCAGCACGAAAACCTTATAGTCACCAAATCTAAGAAAAGCTGGAGAAGGAGGTGGTTTGGTTTTTAAAAGTGTGTTCTAAATGTACCATTGATCCAAGAGTCTCTCATTTGTGATGCTAAATTTATTTTGAAATATTAAGTAACATCAGAGGAAGGCTTAAGATTTTTATGTGTAACTAAAATCATGGATATGAATTTTCCAAATATATATTTTTTTATTTAAATAGACATAATATATTTTAACATATTTAACTTAAATATTTAAATATATATTTCAAACTCTCATTTTGCAAAGGAGGAGAGTGATGTCAAAGAGTTTGAGTTGGGGTGCTGATTAATAATTACTTTCTTGGGGCATCTGTCTGGCTCAGTTGGGGGCATGTGCCTTTGGCTCAGGTCATGATCCCCAGGTCCTGGGACCCAGCCCCAAGTCAGGCTCCTTGCTCAGTGGGGAGCCCGCTTCTCCCTCTCCCTCTGCCTGCCACACCCCCTGCTTGTGCTCTCTTTCTCTCTCTCTCTGTGTCAAATAAATACAAATCTTTAAAAATAAAATTTTAAAAATAACCATTTTCTTGACCTTGGTGGCAGGGAAGTAAGAAGCAGTAAAGGAACCCAGGCCTGATTTCTGATTGTAATTAGAAAGCACTGCGAGGCCCGGGTTTATCTCCTCAGCAGGGCTTACTGTATTCTTACTGCTTGCTAGCTCTAGAACTTCTCTGCTGGGTGTCCTCCTGGCCACTTGCTGTCACCTGTAGTCTGGGAAAGGGGTGCTCTCATGATGTATGAATGGGCTTTTTGCACTTTTTGTTTTCATATTTAAATTACTTTTTTAAATGAGCTCACAAATGGGACAAGAATGTTTTGATAAGTTGATGTTTTTGTCCTTTGAGAATGTTTGCCAGAAAAGGGGGGGGTGGATTTGTTTTGTTAAGGGGTGGGGGGGGAAGCACTGGCAAGAATAGATGCATGAGTTTCCATGGTGATTGGTACCTATCAGCCCCTTGGCTTGAGAAGACCCTCTGAGGTTTGCAGAACTGTTTGGGTCAGAGCTTGTCGGACTCACCTGGGCACTGCCTCCTCGGTGGGAGGGAGCCTGAGTGGACAGTTTGCCTTCACCTCTACTGCCCCACAGTTCCTCTACAGAGGCTGGGCGGGCACCGGAGTGGCCAACTGGCCCATGGTGGTGTCCATGGGACCTGCACTGAGGTCCACTTCCATCCCAGCACCCTTGATCTTCTCTCTCCAGGGGGTCTTTCCAGAGAAGTACAGTATCTGGACATTTGGAAACTACAGAGCAATTTTAAATAACAATTTTGGAGAAACTTTTAACACAGTAAAGCCCCGACTGTTTTTTAGAGCCATTGTTACAAACGTGGAGGATCCACTCAGGGATATGCATATTCTCTTCTCTTTCTTTTCACAAAATGATTAATTTCTATAAATCGAGAAAGTCTGTGTGGGAGGAAGAAGCGGATTAACCTGAAAGATAAAACTTTTTTTTTTTCGTTAAGAAAAATTGTGTGTTGGGGCGCCTGGGTGGCTCAGTTGGTTAAGCGACTGCCTTCGGCTCAGGTCATGATCCTGGAGTCCCGGGATCGAGTCCCGCATCGGGCTCCCCGCTCAGCGGGGAGTCTGCTTCTCCCTCTGACCCTCTTCCCTCTCATGCTCTCTCTCTCAAATAAATAAATAAAATCTTTAAAAAAAAAAAAAGAAAGAAAAAGAAAAATTGTGTGTTTTTACACACACGGGTGCACACACATGTACATACACACGCACATCCCCCTGAATAACCTGTTCCCTCTACCCTTCACCCCCACCCCCACTCGGCCATCTCTGGCCTCTGTATCCTGCAGCAGTCCCTCCAGGCCAGGGAGTTGTGCTCCTGAGTCTGGCCATCTGGTCTGAGACTGGGGACCATCCAGTCCCTGCCCCCCACCCCCGCCCCAGCCTGTAAGATGTTCCAACACGTTTGTTGGCTCACACAATCTTCCCTGCACCCAGCCTCCCGGACAGAAGAGAAAAACCTGTGACCAAAGAGGAGGCAGCTCATTCCTACCCAAGACACCCCGTCTTCTCCCCACCCAGCACCCCCAGCTCCCAAGGCTGCCGATTCCCCCAGACTAGGCCAGAGGTCAGCTCAGTCCTGTCCCCATCTGACACCCTTCCCTGCTGAAGTGAGATCTAGACCCTCACTGCCCGCCCTCTGAGCTGTTCTCCCAAGTTCAAAATCCTCAAAGGACTGGCTGGTGGCTGTGTGTGTTTGGAAGGAGGAGAAGCCCTGTCCAAAAGGTTATGGGACCGTTTTCATTAATCTAATGGTGTGAGGGTGTGGCTCCTGTCTGGGTGAGATGGAGACTATGAGTTCTGGGTTCTGGGGCTATTCAGGGTTCTGCCTTGGAAAAAGTCCACACCTGTGGTGAGAAGGTGGGGCCTTCCTGTCTCCAGCCCTATTTGCAGGCTTCTTCTACCTTAAGAAACAGGCTTAAAAACAAAAGTTCCCTCCTATAAAAGAAAAAGCTGCTTCCCCAGAGGGGAGCAGGGGGTGAGAGAAGGGATGCAGGGTGTCTCACTTCTGGTGGTCAGTGACCCCAGGAGGAACTGGAGACCCTCATCCTCAGGCTCTGAGGCCTCCATCTCCCACTCCTCCAATATTTCCAGGCCTGCTGAGGTAGGGCTCAGCGGCCTCCCTCTCCTCTCTCCGCTGGAAACAGAAGCTCCAGCGAATGTTTCTAACTCTTGAGTCCACTCAGCCATGTCCCCCTTGCAAAATCCTCCCCTTCCCGCACCCCCCTGCACCCAGCCAGCCAATCCGCGGCCTGCGAGTCTCTCCAGACCCATCTCTCAGGGCCCTGGCGGGATAAAACCGGTCTGCGATGCCGGGTGGATGGGAACAAACTTCAGAACGAGGAGAGACGCAGGGCCCAGGGCACCCTCGCAGGCTGACCCAGGCAGTGAGGGCCTGCGGCCGGCTGGCCAGGTATGCTGCCCAGGGGTTGGCTGAAAGCTGACTGGGGAACAGCGGTGATTCGAGAAGGGAGAGGGGCCCAGGGAGCCAGGCAGCCTTTCCCCTCCTAAGTTAAACTGGATAAGGCTGGGGCAACAGGGGAAGAGGGCACTGGGTTGGAGTTTGGAGCTTCCTCCAGAGGACCCCTGATCCCGGATCCTCCGGGCAAACGTGTGTTAGCCAGGCCGAAGTGGGCCACCCTTCGCCTAAAAATCCTCCGACCCCTGCCACGTGATGAGGGCCTAAGGGATAGGGCCTGGGGAGAAGGCATAAGACAGGGGACATCGAATCTCATGCCCCTTCCCCTGGGTCTGTGCAGGGCAGCGGCGTGGCGGCGGGCGCGGCGGGGACCTGCGTGAGGAAGCCCTGAGCCCTCGGCGGGCTGCGAGCGACTCCCCGGCGATGCCTCACAACTCCATCAGATCCGGTAAGGACGCGGCGTTGCCGAGCCCCCGGAGCCCCCGCGTCGCCGTGCGTCCGTGCGTGCGCTCGGGCCGGTGGGGCTGGGGAGCTGACGCTCGGGCTCGTGGGACCCACCTGCGCGGGGACGCAGCTGGGGGCGCCGCTGGCCTAGCTCTCCGCTGCGGCCGTCTCGCCCGTTCTCAGGCCCCGAGGTCCCCCTCGGCCCGGCGAGCCGCCCTCCCCAGGCCTTGGTTTCTGCGGACCACACGGAGCGGTGAGGAGCTCTCCGTGCGGGTCAGAGGGGTGTCCCTCGCGCCCAACCCCCGTCTTGCATGTCCCATGAGGGAGGACATCCTGTGCCTCTCAGGCCCTGGGCCGCCCCCGACCTCTAAGCCCTTGTGCCCGGGTGCGCGCAGCTCTTGCCCCTGGCTGCCCCGGCGGGACCGTGAGCCCCGTGCACCCCTCAAGCCGGCGGGAAAGAAGCCTGTGGTCCGGGCCTGGGGGGCCTCTGAGTACACTCGGCTGCTCTCGGACTCCTCCTTGCCGAGCCTGGGGCAGGCGGAGAGCCGAGCGCGGGGCGTCCGGCCTGCGAGCACTGGGCGGCCCGCGGGGCCGAACCTCCCTCCCCAGCGGTGACCCGGCCCAGGGCCTTCCAAAGCGCTCGGGGGTCCCTGGCCGCGGCGCCTGCTCTTCCCCGCCTCCTGGGCCAGGCCGGGGTTGTGTGTGGGGGGGGGGGGGTAGAGGGGGAAGGTGTTAACGGACACGGAGCCCCAGGGTCGGGGCCGGTGGGCACCGTGGGCACGGTAGGCGCGGTGGTCACGGCCGCCCCGGCGCGCAGCAAGTGTGGACAGCGGGCAGAGGCGCGGCCCGGCCCGCGGTGATGGATGGAGCCGGGCGGGCCGCGGGGAAGGCGATTTATGAGGCCAGGGCGCAACGCTATCGATTTGGGCCGGCGAAGTGAGAGGAAATCAATATTTCAGATGAATTCTCGGCGAATATGAAGTCCCGCACGGCAAACGGGACATTTGTTATAATAAGCAGGGTCGGATCGGGCGCGGCGCGCGGCTGAGATCTCTATTTAGCAGAGAGCGCCACGAGTCCGAGCTTTGCCGCGCAGTCCCGGGTCCGGGGGCCGAGGCTCCACAACGAGGGGTGCGGGGAACCCCGCGAGGCGCCGGGAGGTTGCTCATTCTGGCTTCCTCTAGGGTGCCTCCCCACCCCGTCCCCCTAGGAGAGCGCGGCCCGAGTCGTCCCGTCCCGGCCGCCTCTGCGGGAGCAGGGCAGCTTTCGGGGCGCGGAGAAGAGACCTCGCGGCCCTTCCCGGGAGCGGCGGGGTCGACGAGCCAGGGAACCGAGCGGACCTGCCTGGCTCCCCTTACCCGGCCGCGCTCCGGCGCCGCGCGCGCTCCTTGACCACTTTCTGAGGCCGGGACCAGGTTTTAGCCCCGCAGTCATTAGCCAAACCAGGGTACAATACCGGACGTCTCCCCTGCCTCGGGATCGGGACGGTCTCTGAGGCCGAGCGCTCAGCCTTAGTGCCCCATATTACGCCAGTCTGGTCCCGGCCAATTCCGCTCGGTTCCGATTCCATCTCCCCCCCGCCCCGCCCGCCCGCAGCCCGACCTTCCCCTGACCTTTCAGGCGATGGTAGGAGTGGGTGCCCTGGGACCTCGAATTTACCGTGCTGCACCAGACCCCTTTCCCTCTGTTGTTGCTAGAAATAAGACGAGGTCACAGCCCCCTGGGTTGGCTTGATTTTGTTTTCGCTAATTTTCATTCTAGAAGCACTCATTAGAATAAATGGGGATAAAAGAAGGAAAGAAAAAAAAAAGACACAATTTATTTTTACTTTATTTTTAATCAGCACCAGGCCCAGAAGATGAGAGGCCAATTCCCCACTGGCTCAGATGTAAATTGCCCTAGGGTTTGGGGAGAGAGCCGTCCGCTCCCTGGCAGGTCCAGGACAGAGGTTATTTTTCCGTTTAAGGAAGGCAGAGGGGCTACTTCTAAACCTTCCCCCAAACAAATAAAGAAATAAAGCTGCAAGGAGGGGAAATGAACCTTTCTCCTTTCGTTTAATTTAATGCTAATAAAACAGAAGAAAACTGCCTAAAACACAGCTCAAACATTTCAAGGCTATCCCATGTCTTTTCTAAATTCCCTTACGAAAACCTGAGCCAGAGACCTCCTTCTTTCTAATCAGTTTACTTAACACCGATGCCTATATGTAAAGATAAATTCATAAGCTGACTCCGATTTTTATACGCCCATTTCTCTCGGGTTTTAGCAGCTTCCCTCTTTTCCCCAGGCACTTCCATTCCTGAGTTCGCCCTTGCTTGGAAAGCTTCCATTTAAGTTTTCTCTGGAACAAAATTCCCCGGGACGCGCAGGCGGCCACGGGGCTTTTCGCGGGACCGAGGCCGTGCGCACCGTTACAAAAACCCAAGAAGCGGGAGAAAAGTTTCCTGCGCGGCCTCTGCCCACCCGGCCAGACGCTGCAGCTCACCCTGGTCTGGCTCACTCTCGGCTGATCTTGCTTTGAAGAGAGGTCTTTTTTTTGTTTCCCCCCCTACAAGCTTTATTCTGAAGGGCTGTGAGAGCGCCTAGGGAATTACGCTGATTGCTCTGGTCAATAATCTACTGGAATTTTGTAGCATCAGGGAACAAAGATCCTTTAAAGCAAATACTATTTTTTTAATGTTTAAAGATAAATGCCACATAAATATTAAAATGAAAATAATACTGTATCAGTGAAGAAGAGAGTTTAGTAAAAGCAAGCAGATTGTCATTAAAAGTTATGTGCCATAACTTGGGGCAACCCTCTTCCCCAGCCACTGAAAATAGGTTACTCAAGTGGTCAAATGAGACTGAAGATCAAGGAGGAACATGGCTCTAACTTCCTAGATCTGAGATGCAAAGCCCTATTCCCTCCTCTTGGTTTAAGAAAGGAGAAAAGGGGACCAAATGCTTTTGGGAAGGATCGATTTTCTTCCCAGTTTTCTTGCCTGGGTTGAAAACAAGGTCTCTGGATGGGAAACAGTCTCAAAGAACATAAAGAGGTATTGGGGTTCCTCAATTCATCTTTGTTTCAAGATGGTCCATCCTCCTACCCTCCTCAATGCAAGTTAATTAGGAGATAATTTAGCTACCTTGTGAATTAGTTTTAAGATAAGTATCTTTTCAAGCTTTGTCACTTTAATTGCTCCACTGATTGATAAGAAGTAATTATTTCTAATTGACACTTTTTTGATGTCTATTGGAAGCATTTATTTGGGACTTTTTTGGGGTGGAAGGAAAGTTAATTAATTTTATCAGTCTATACCCAAAAAGACTCTGCCTAATTTAGTTGAAGAGGACAAAGGAGATGAAGGAAAACAAAACAAAAAATCAGTCTCATGAAATTTTAATTATTGCAATATTTTTATTCAAAGGAGATCCTCCACTAATATAATAATATGTCAAAACTTTCTATTTATGGCTTCAAATCTCTAATTTTAATGGGGTACATGTTTACTGGGTATATATATTTTTCCCTGGATCTACTCACAACCCTTTTATATGCTGACTTCATTTTGAAGGTTACTATGTAATTAATTTTTGTGAAAAGTAAAATCAATAGAACTCAGTATGCTCAGAATAAATGGCATCATTTTTGTAAGAGCAAATTGTAAGAAAGATTTACTGATCATCATCCCTGTTCTGTAATTATTGATAGAGTTGGGTATGAAGGTGAAACTTTACTTCGGTGACATGCCTTTTCGTACTTAAACCTCGGAGTAAACAGTTTAATCATTCACATCCTCAGAATATGTTACTGTGAAAGAGAAAGAAGGGACAGAATAAAGAGCAAAAGAAAGACCCTGAAAGGAGGCAATGGGGGAGGGGGAGGAGAGAGAGAGAGGGAGAAAGTGGCTGGAGAGAATAAAAATGAAAGAACTTATTGCGGAAGCGAAGGTAGCCAGGTGCACAGGACCTTTGTCATTCAATATAAGAAAATGGGAATTCTTCAAAACACATCCTTTTGAACACGGATCTCTACCACAGCCCCTAAGCAACCCCTAAACACCACTGGCAACTCCCCACTTTTCTATGCATGAAAAGAGGCAGGATTTTCAGGAGCCAGCTGGTCTGGCTGTTGGGTATCTAGATATCAAAGTCTTGATTTGGTGTCCATAAAAAGGAAGCAAGAAAATACGCATTGTGCTCTGGGGGCTTGTAAAGAGATTTGAGTGTTGTTTATTTTTATTATTAAAGCCCCTGTGATCTTCATTCCTAGCTGTGTACCCACAATCTTTCCACAGATAGACTTGTGACTCACTGACAGGAAAACATTTCCACACAAACCCAAAGTGGAGGCACGTACTTGCACACACTCATGCACGCCTGAAATGAGAGAAGCACAATCAGACAAGATGTGCTCCTGCCAGGTTAATTTCAGCCAGTGCCTTTTCATTTATGTATAAAATCTTGTCTGCTTTTAATGATGTTTCTCCCAGATTACGTGGAGCTGCAAGAATGAGGAAACATTTTAAATAAAAAAAGAAATTTAAGACGTACAAACAGCAGATAATATCACATACCAATCTCACTATTAGTGAAACTGAAAAAATATATAAATAATGCAAAAAAATCAGCAAGGGAGAGTTTAGTAATGGAAAATTCCCCTGCAATTAAATGAAACAGTAATTTAGTAGAGATATGCCTGAATGAATTAGCATTTATTAATTGGTTCTCATAAAAACAATTTGTGTGTGTGTGTTTCGGGGGGGATATTTAAAGTATTTATTTTTCATAGGAAAAGTTCCTCAAATATTCTTATCAAACTAGGTAGTGATCGTATTCTATTTTGTGAAAAAAATCCCAATTTTCTCACTGGTGAATTTCACCTGTACACAAAGAACGTGGGGTGAGGGAGATGAGTCCTTTTAAATCAGAATGAAGCTGGTCCCCTCTTCTCTTGGGACATTTCCAAGTGTGAAACCAATGGGAAACACATTGGCAGGGTCTGTTAGGCTTAGAAACATC